AACAACAACAACAACAAGGCACGAGTAAGATTGAAACAGGAGCTGGTGAATAGGTGGATAATTCTGCAAGTAACCGTAATTCTACATGAGTAGCCCATTTAAATGATTTTTCAAAATCAATAATAAAGTTATATGTGAACTTATAATGTGGAACTGGTACAGGGAGGGGATCAATATAGTCTTGTGTGGAGTGAGAGGAAGAGTGGCATAGCCAGCATTCATTCCAGTTACTGGTGCTGGTGGCTGGTAGAGTTAGCTTGAGAAAACCATTTTCCTTGCAAGCATCAGGGATGGCTGTAATAAACAGAAAGAGAATACTTATAAAAATGTTCATAATGGAGAAAGGTTAACTAAAGTAATACAGTAAAGAGAAAAATGAGTATAAAACACATTCTCCTTTTATCAAGTTACCAGGAGAGGAACCCAAGTTGGTAAAATAAAGCTTATTTTAAAGGCTATAAGTGTTGAGCAGAGTCCAGCGAGTTCTGTTTCTGGCATGAGGAATAAAAGTTTTACCTTACTGGGTCAGGGTTAAATGCATTCAGTGATTACCAGAGCTACTGAGAAATAATTCGCAAGTGTGTAAAAAGAGCCAAAACTATGCAAACACCAGCAGTTAATAAAGTCCCCAGTTTTCAGCAGCTGACGGGCAACCCTGTTCCACGTTTCTTGGGATCCGCCGCTTGCTTTTCTAGTCATCTGCTTCAGACCATTTCAGTCTGAATGTAAATCCTTGTTTGCCTGACAAATGCCAGATAGGTCTTTAGCTTTCCAGAGCTGTGATAAGTGAATCCAAGGATTAATTCCTTCTAGTTTTTCTGCACAAGGGTTAATTATAAGAGAAACGAGATAAAGTTCGTTCCAATGGATTTCTAAAGAATCTTCTAGTTGGTGCCTTTTTCTATAAACAGAATCTCCTGGGATAATATTAAGTAAAAGAGAAGAACCACATTTTTGTTCTTCAAATGCTTCTTTAATTTGTGAGGAGTATTTCTTTGAGTATTGCCTTAGAGATAGACAATATGTCAGTCCTTCAGGTTGTGCTCAGTTAGACTCTGTAGAGGTAACGAGAGGGAAGGATCGTAGGCCTTCCAGTAATTATTTCATAAGGAGTAAGTTTATGAGACCCAAAAGGACTGCTGCTTAAATTTAAAAGCTCTAAAGGGAGGACTTTAGTCCAAGACAAACCTAACAATTCAGAAGCTTAGCAAGTTGGGTTTTTGTTAGCCATTGCTTCTTTCGACAAGTCCAGAGAGCTGAGGATAATGAGGGCCGTGCACTGTCTGGTACATGGGGAAGATTTGGTATAGTCCTTGAATAACTGTCCAGTAAAATGAGTTTTCCCGGTTCCTGCGAAGAGCTTTTGGTGCTCTCCAGGTAGGTAGTATGTGTTTGAGGGGCCTCTTTGCTACAGAAGAAGCAGTGGCATGTGGGCAGCGGGGAGCCTCTCCCCAGTGTGGAAACCTGCAGATTGTCATTAAGACATTTATACTCGTTCCAGGTGGAAGCTGATAAAGTCTAGTTGCCATTCAAGCCTAGGGCTGGAGGGTGAAGGGTACTGTCCAGGTACAGTTTAAAGACGTTTCACACGCTTAAAGCAAGGGCACAAAGAACAGTAGGCTCAGCTGCCTCAGAAAATTTTCCCCACCAGGATTTCTTTCAAATTCCGGTTATTTTATCTCTTCCTAGATGGGTGTTCTCATGTAGGGTTCTCACCATAGGGACGCGCGAGAGTTTTGGAAGAAGAATTTCAGTGCCGAGTCTTAACCATGGTTTAATGTTAGGATTTTGGTAATAGCCTGACTTTTTCCATGTCTGACTTTAAGCTGACTTGAGCAAACTGCTGATGAAAAACTAAAAGCTTTTTCTTTGGTGGATTCAGAAAATATTAGTTATTTCACGGAAACAGTTCTCTGTAAGTTCTTCTCTCTGTAAACTGCTGTGTTACAACAGGGGCAACGATAGTTCGGGAGGCAGCCTGTTTTAGCAGCTGTACTGGCAAGGTCCTTTCCTCTAATTTCGTCAGTTTGGGGCAGTCTTCGATTGGTGAGCCTGTATTTTAATTTCAGAAGGGTACAACAAGGCATCTAAAAGTTCTGCTACTAATAAATAAATAAAAGGTCTGCCCCTAAAGTCCTGTTTTTAGTAGCATGACCAGAAGACGTTAAAAGCACTCTTTGTTTCCATAACATGCCATCATTAATGATAAGTCGAAATGCATATTTAGAATCCGGAAAAATATTCATGGACTTCACTTAGCAAGTTTGCAGGTTTGAGTAAGAGCAGTAAATTCAGAATGTGGGGCTGTAGTGGCCTTGGGAAATGGGCGGCTTTCAGGAACTTTGGTGGACGTTGTTGCAGTGTGATCAGCCTGATAATGAGAGTCAGGGTTGATTTTAAATAAGGGCCAAAGTGTAAATAGTGTTCTAACACATTTTACCTCATATACTGTATTACGCTTATTTTTGCATTTTGGGATAGACATTTAGTAAGTTCTCGATTTCTGTTTAACCTTCAGGGCTTTTTAAAAAATTTGTTTAATACACCATGTTCAGTGCTTACATGAAGGCCCTGGTGGTGCCATGGTTAAAGCACTCAACTATTAACTACAATGTCAGTGCTTTTGACCCACTGGCTATGGAAGAAAGATGTGACGGTCTATTTCTACTCTGTCCCATAGGGTCATTATGAGTCAGAATGGACTCAACAACAGTAGGTTTGATTTTATTTTTTCTTGGAGTGCTTACATATAAGGAAGATCTGGTGGCATATTGACTAAGGCATTTTGACTGCTAACCAGAAGGCTGGGAGTTGAAACCCACCAGCCATTCCTCCTCGGAAGGAAGATTGCACAATCTACTTCCGTAGTGATACCGGCTCGGA